GTCGGTGCAGCTGCCGTACCAGGCCGTCATGCAGCCAGTCAGGATACTCTCTATGGTGCACCTCTCATTCTCCCATCACCAAACGACAGAGAAGTATGTCTTTCTATCTCGACACTGAGCAAAGAAACTTCTCCTTGTTCACTGAAGGGAGGGGGCATGTTATCATCCTCTAAAAGTGACACACTTCTCACTGGAACTACAGGACTGAGCACAAACTGTTAAACCACATGTTTGAGGTTATTCTTTTTCAATTGTATATTATATATATATAATATATAATGCTAAACTGCATTGAGTCATCTCAGTAGTGCAGCTACTTGAGATGACTCAATGCAGTTTATTATTACAACATATCTCGTACTTCCCGTTCATATCTGAGAGTCGGTTGTAAAGAAGAACACTCTTATGGGACCACAAAGTAACTGAAACAGTCTTGTGACATGTCATACTCTTATCTTGTTTAATGTGGTGCCTGCTCTCCATAAGAGGTTCAACAGGAGGAGACGGTTCAGGAGAGAAAGTCCTCCGACACACCCTGTACCCCAGTGGTTTAAATAACGTTCAACACGTATCTTAGTTTAAAGAATAAGAAGAAGGATCAATGACCTTACAGCCAAATGATGAAACTCACAGTGACTGAAATAAATAAATATAGATATAACACTTTACAGATGTTACATGGGGGATGTATGGAGTCTCATTTACTGATGTGACTGATAGATGTCATGTTTCTATCTCATTGGCCTCAGAGCTGTCTGTCTGCTGGAGGCCCTTATTAAAAACCTGCTGCTTTCTGTCTGAGTAGTGGACTGTAAGACCCTCGTTTATAAACTCCTCAAAAAAAGTTTGGAAACGTTATTGCGGTCGATTATTCCTCCCCTTTAATAATACCAGCCTGGTCACACACTGCTGTGGGATGGCATCCCATTCCTCAACCAGGATTTGTCGCAAGTCAGCCAACATGGTTGCGTTGGTCACTCTCGCACGTACAGCACACCCAAGCTGATCCTTTGGCCCAAGTGTTCAATTGGGTTGAGGTCTGGGCACACGGCAGGCCATTCCTTCCTCTCCACTCCCAAATGATGGAGGTACTCTGTGATGATCCTGGCTCTGTGGCACATTTTTTTGGGTCGCTACCCACACGGTTAGCTGTGTTGCTCATTCCACGAATGCACCAATCCTTACAAGTTGTACCTCATTGTAAAGGTGACTAATCAGGCTTTTCCAACGATATAAAATACAACACCAATTGGAATTATTAAAGGGGAGGAATAATTGACCGAAATAACGTTTCCAAACTTTGACCTTTAGGAGTTTATATCAGTTTGATATACTGCTATGTTCAAGAATGAAAGGCTACAGTTTCAAAGTCAACAAATACATTTATTAATGAGATAACTCAGATGAACAAAGCGCTATTCCAAAGTCCAAAGATCAACTGCAGTACAACACAAAGACTGTGAATGATCTATAGAAAATGTCCACTTCGTGCTGAAGCTTCCACTGCTCCGTGATTACCCACCAAGAGTCACTCTTTTACACACCGACAGTGAATGTGATTTCAGGTATGATGGACAAGAAGAGACGACGATTAGACATGGAGCAAAAGGGAAGACAAGACTAAATACACAGAAGGGTAATCACAGGACAAGACACAGCTGGGCAGGGGAGGCAGAAACACAAGGGCAACAGGTGAACACAGGAAGGGAGCCGCAAAAAACAGGGAGAACAGAACTTCAAAAATATACCCATGACTTGACACACAAAACTAAAATCATGACATAATGTCAAACATTATATCATCATATAGGCCTATGCCTTCTTAGTATTACCGTATATAAAATGAAATACTCTACTTTGAATAATTAGTGTTTGGTAAATTCTGAAATCAAATCATAAAATCTAAAAATATATTAAAGGGCCCATGTCATGGCCATTTCCACTGATCATAATTACATTGTTGAGGTATAACTAAAATAGATTTATACTGTGCAATTTTCCCAAACTCACATTGGTTTCGCATACAGCATCTCTGTCAAGCATGTGTATTCAGCAGTATTCACTTTCTCCACTAAACGACTCGTTGGAGCTCTTGCCCCCCCCTCCCTGTGAGCCTAGTGTGCTCCGATTGGTCAGCTCGGCCACTCGTTCTGATTAGTCAACCACCAGAGAGGCTGCGCCCATGTCAGTGCTTTTCCCGGCTGCTCTCAGCGTAACATCAGTCTTATCATGGCGTCGGTACAGCGGTATATTTTATATACATATATATTTTAACTGTTGTTATAGAAGAGTGTGACGGCCTCAGGGCCTTTGTCTTACGGTGGGGTGGAGCTGAAGAGGGTAATCAGCGCGATCACGGACACCTCCGTAGCCGGTGCTATTAATCCAGCGGCCCGGAGTCTCTCTCCAAAGCGGCTGCAGAAGGACGAACTGAGCGACCCTCTCCCCTCGACCACCTGTCTCTGCATTTACTACAATAAATGTGCCGTGGTTTTGTAAACTCGTGTATGTCTCCTTGTCTTTCCGTTGTGGCCTACGAGCTACTCTCATAACAAAGAGTAAGTTATTTTTACCCGTTATAAACTACTACTGTTTGATGAGAAATCAAATCATGGTTTGCTATATATGAATTCAGGGAAGAAAGGATAGGCCTACTAAGTATTTCCATTAAACTTTATTTTTAGAAATGTACAAAATGAACATAAATATACATATATACACGGTATATCATCCATTCCTCCTCGCATCTTGCCTGCGCACAGCCGGTGCGGTGCGGTGCCTTTTAGCACGAGGCCTCAGTAGTAGTAGAAGTCCCGTCCCCGTCATGGATTGTCCGCCAGGATCTGGCTGGACGAAATCAAATGCAAATCACAAAATATTAGAGAAACTTAGTTGTTTTAGATTCGTTAGTAGTAGTTGTGTAATGAACAGCTTGCCTGCTAATATGCTAACCTAGCTTTGTTTACCTTGGTAGCTAACACGATATGAACGTTAGCTTGGAGGAAAGGCAACTATAATGCAGTGTAATAAAACTACTATGAACAAAAGCTAGTGGTTCATATTAGGCTAGCAATAACGTGTTTATAATTGCAATCGTATACGGGTATTCTGCTACGTTCGGTTCATACAATGTAACTTGCATGAATACATTGTTTTGCGCTAGCATACAGCTAGCCCTCGTTAGCTACATGCAAGTATATGTACGGTCACAATGTACGGTAAATCACAGTACAGTATACTGTATGAGTATTCCGTGTGTGTGACTGCAGACATTCTCCTGCCATGACAAACATGTAAGGCCATCTGCTGACATTGTAGTTGATATATTTTAAACGCTAGCAACGTAGCATCACAAAAATGTTTTTCTGACCGAAACTAGCTCTAGCTCCGTGTGTTAGATCGCTATACGCCAGCTATAATGTAATTACGTTTCGCGACTGACCGGCAAATCACCCGGAGTATACTGTCAATAGGTATTTTGTGTGTGAATGCAGACATTCTCCTGCTATGAGATACATGTATGCAAGGCCATCTGCTGATATTAGAGTTGATATATGGAAACTCTAGCAACTTAGTTAGCACTGTGTCAATGGCTTAGCAGTCCAACACAGTTTACACATTTAAACAGTCTTGTTTGATAAATACACAAATAACAATGCAAACTTACAGGTTGTATACCCAGATCTTCCCCTGCTCCAAACGGTCCAAACAAGCTGTGCATATCCGGGTCTCAAACTGGGCAATGTTTTGGAAGCTTTCGTCTGTGAAATGCCAGTTCTTCGAACCTCTGGAGGAGGAACACGACGCTGCTGGTGTGGCCATAGCTCTTCGGGATTGGTCCATTTCGTTCCGGGTACCGCATGACATCAGGCGGTACCCGGAACTAAATGGAAGACTCAAATGGGCAGTGACGTATCTCCAACGAGGCGTTTTGGGGAGGTATTTTTCTGTGTTTAGAGTTTTACTCGCTACAGGGTGTACTTTGAGGGTTTTGACTCTGCACACCGTTTACATGCATAAAAACCTTCATAACACACAAGGGACGGGTAATAACCGGAAAGCATGACATGGGAGCTTTAATATGTAACAAATATATTCCATTTCAGAGCAGAAGAAACAGCCTTCAAGGGTCAAACTCTGCACATACATCATTCCCAAAAATGTGTACTGCTGAAACTGTCCTGCAGATATCTTCCCATTGTCCTCCATAATAAACACTAGAGATATGCCACCTATATTTACTCTGGTTAGTAGCTGCACTACTGAGATAACAATATACAATTTAAAAAGAATAACCTCAAACATGTGGTTTAAACAGTTTGTGCTCAGTCCTGTAGTTCCTGGGAGGAGAAGAAGAAGTTTCTTGGCTCAGTATCAAGACATGAAGACATACTACTTCTTTGTTTGGTGAATCAAGAGAAGGAAATCAAGATCTCTCTCTGCATTTGTTTTCTGGCTAAGAGGGAGATTTATTTTATGTGTTGAGCAATACTGATAATTGCTGATAATACTTTTGTACTTTTACACAAGTGCAGGGCTTTAACTTGTAATTAAGTATTTTGACAATAATGTATTGGTACTTTTACTTTGAAGTATATGAACACTTCTTCCACCACTGCAGCTACACACTCATTGAATCCACTGTGAAAATAACCACACAGCTCAGTTTTGACTTCTTCCTGATGAAGGACAGGTCAGGTCAGTAATATCTATTTTACACTCTGTGAGAAGTCATATTGAGTCCTGATTGCATTTAAAGTCTTAACTGACAGTGAACAAACACGGCATGCGGACACTCCCCTCCCCTGTGTGAAATGAGGAAATACAAGTCCCTTTGTGTGTGATGTAACACAACTAGGGGGGGGTGTGGTGTGTGGTGTGTGTGTGTGTGTGTGGTGTGTGTGTGTGTGTGTGTGTGTGTGTGTGGTGTGTGTGTGTGTGTGTGTGTGTGTGTGGTGTGTGTGTGTGTGTGTGTGTGTGTGGTGTGTGTCCTCTCACAGGGAGAAGATGATCTTCCTCATCCTGCTGCTCCTCTTCCTCACCCCCTGTGTCTCTGGTTAGTTTACTCCTTTATTTCCCACTCAGACACAATGAATATTATGGAAAAACTTTTTGTGTCACGTTTTACCTTTTCACTAAGAAGCATCTTAGAGCTCTTTGGTATGGAACACTATTAGTGCAAGGCAAGAGGGTCAAAACTGAGGAGGGGGATTCTGATTTGTTTAGCTTTTTTTAAATCAAAATGTCAAGAGTGGAGCTTTCAGTATATTCTCCAACAAAAGTAATTTGTTCTTAAAAGTTCAATGTTTATTCTCAATAATTACACTTTAAAAGTGCCTAACTGTTTTTTCTGATACATTTTTCCTAATAACTGCACTCAAATTGAAAGATTGATATTTTACTCGACATCATTGGCTTTTTTTCTTAACATGCTAAATAAAAAGTAAAATAGTCCCTTTCTTCTTTATTTCCCTCATACCCTAATACTCTTCCTCACCTGAGGAGGACCTCTGTCTCTGGTTAGCTTCAGTTAGTCTCTTTAAAGCTGTTCTCAGAAAGCAGCAACAGAAACATAGCTGCAGTTTAAAGAGTCCCTCTGTGTCTCCTCCACAGGAACATAGCTGCAGTTTAAAGAGTCCCCTCTGTGTCTCCTCCACAGCAACATAGCTGCAGTTTTAAAGAGTCCCTCTGTGTCTGCTCCACAGGAACATAGCTGCAGTTTAAAGAGTACCCTCTGTGTCTCCTCCACAGAAACATAGCTGCAGTTTAAAGAGTCCCTCTGTGTCTCCTCCACAGCAACATAGCTGCAGTTTAAAGAGTACCTCTGTGTCTCCTCCACAGAAACATAGCTGCAGTTTAAAGAGTCCCTCTGTGTCTCCTCCACAGAAACATAGCTGCAGTTTAAAGAGTCCCCTCTGTGTCTCCTCCACAGAAACATAGCTGCAGTTTTAAAGAGTCCCCTCTGTGTCTCCTCCACAGTAACACTAGCTGCAGTTTAAAAGAGTCCCTCTGTGTCTCCTCCACAGAAACATAGCTGCAGTTTAAAGAGTCCCTCTGTGTCTCCTCCACAGAAACATAGCTGCAGTTAAAGAGTCCCTCTGTGTCTCCTCCACAGTAACATAGCTGCAGTTTAAAGAGCATACCCTCTTCCTCCTCAGACATCGGAAGTCAGATCCTCCCCATTCACAGTAGCCCTATATAAGTGGTCGTTGAGCTTGTCAGAAGTTACTCGTTCTTCATCTGAGGGAAGCCACTATGGAAAACTCTCCTGTGATGCTTCTCGGTAATAAGGTAATGAATGAATATTTTTAAAGTTATAATATTTGGCACCTAGTTGCTTAGTTTCTTTTGTTACCAGATTTCACTCTCTGTTGTTCTCTCTTCTATAACCCTGAACAATGTGTACATATTATACTCAGGCTTTATTTAAACTGCAGCTACTTGTTTTCTCAGGCTCGTACTCACTGCATTTACGTTTTTATTTAAAATGGCACACTTTATAATGTTTACACGCTGTTTTTAGTAGTGGGTTTATTAATTATAGTGTTTTCTAGATCATTCTGTATATTTAGACGTTGTGTATTTTTTATATTGTATAAAATATATGCTTCTATTGTTAATGTGTATATAAAATATACTTTATCTTTGTTATTTATTAGTCATGTTATGTGCAATGTCGTTTTTTTTACTTGAATGCCGTAACAAAGACGTTTTCCCTATTTGGTCTTGATAAAGTAAATCTAATCTAGTTATTAGAATAGTTGTTTGTGAGATTTGACAACATAAGGTTGTTTTGCATATTTTGCCACAAGTTCACAGTTGCATACACCCTGAACAACAACGCTGTGTTATTTTATCTACACTAACGTACTGAGGTTCAGCATGCTGGTTCGTTTTGTTGTTGGGTTAAATTCCCAGTGGGGGGGTCATTGGAAAAGAGCCGCTCAATGCTTTGTTCACTTTCTGCAGAAGTCAAAGGATTTCCTGGTTCAGTTCATTTCATTTCAATCTTTATTTCGAACAGATTAAAAAAATTAAAAAATAACAAATGTGAAAAACAGAATACCGTATTGTTAAAATAAAGTATTTATCCACATTCATGATATTTATATATTCAACAAAAAAAGTCTTCATATAATAATAATAAAAAAAAAAAAGTATACTTATTAATTCCCATCCCTTACTTGATCAATGATTGTCCTTTAAATCATTATGCAAGTTATTCCTACATTTACATTTATACATACATATAAAATAATTTCTCATCTTCAGTCACCTCTCTTCATTCTCATAGTTTTCCAAAAAAGTGTTTCTGTACATCCTTTTAAACTGAATTATATAATTGAGACCTTAACTCAAGGTCAGAACAACTCTGAGAAGTATGAGTATAACAATTAAACAGTTAAACATGTTGATATCTGGCGCCACCTAGTGTCAGATGTTCATTACTGTTCCTGGTGTCAGTCCTCTGTTCTCTCTGTGTATAAGTATTGTGATGACTAAAGACAGGCTGTGAAGCCCTTTCTCAATTATAATGTTCCCCTCGACTCGACTCCCCTCTTCGACTCCTATCCTCGACTCCTATCCTCGCGTCTTAGTCCCGCCCACACGAGGGGAACCGAGGAGTTGAGGAGGGGAACCGAGGAGAGAGGAGGGGAACCGAGGAGTTGAGGAGGGAACCGAGGAGGAGAGGAGGGGAACCGAGGAGTTGAGGAGGGGAACCGAGAGAGGAGGGGAAGCAGCAGGCGGTTAGAGAAATTAGAACTCCTCTCCTCTGAGCGGTCATTTTAAAGAGACGTCCATTAATGATGACAGGAGGCACAGCAGCCTCTGTCTGATGGACAGATGTGTTCATGACGACTTATATATTTACTTTTAATTCATTCACAGTGCGGTATAATGAGACAATAACAGGCTACAGATACCGACATATTCACACACACATTATAATATATTATACACACTGTTCTGCTTTCTTCACTGACCTCAGCAGCTTTTCTCACTTTAAACATTGCGTCACGATTAAAGCAGTTAACAAACAAATGGTAAAGGGCAGAAAGTCTGATGCACATTTGATCATCTTAAATAACTTATAATCACAAGGGAACAGTTTGCAGAGCGGTCATTGGCTGAGATCAGTCCGGCGTGCGTCACAACTCTGAAAAATCACTGTTGCCGGAAATCTCAGAGGAAACATCAGTGTATCCTCGGTTATAGCTCCTCCAGAGAGCCTCCTCTCCTCTCTCCTCTCTCCTCTCTCCTCTCTCCTCTCTCCTCTCTCTCGATGCACATTTACAGAAATGCGATGTCCTTCAACATGGCACGCTGAAAACGGTTTCCGGGTCACCAGAGGACCGAGGAAGCGGATATTAGAGAAATGAGAAACGGCTTTTATTTTCTAATGTGTTACATTTGACCTCTGATGTGTGTGTTTGCTCTCTCAGGGAGAAGATGATCTTCCTCCTCCGGCGGCTTCCTCCCCTGCTGTGTCTCTGGTTAGTTCATCTCTTTAATGCTGTTCTCAGTAAATAGCTGCAGTTTAAAGAGTCCCTCTGTGTCTCCTCCACCAAAAATAGCTGCAGTTTAAAGAGTCCCTCTGTGTCTCCTCCACAGGAACATAGCTGCAGTTTAAAGAGTCCCTCTGTGTCTCCTCCACAGAAACATAGCTGCAGTTTAAAGAGTCCCTCTGTGTCTCCTCCACAGAAACATAGCTGCAGTTTAAAGAGTACCTCTGTGTCTCCTCCACAGGAACATAGCTGCAGTTTAAAGAGTCCCTCTGTGTCTCCTCCATAGGAACATAGCTGCAGTTTAAAGAGTCCCTCTGTGTCTCCTCCACAGGAACATAGCTGCAGTTTAAAGAGTCCCTCTGTGTCTCCTCCACAGGAACATTTGTAGTGAATGTGACTCAGACTTCCTATCAGGCAGAGGAGAACCAGAACACCAGACCCTGGAGTGGACCTTCAGCACCAGAAGAGACACTTCACTCAGATCCTCTACCATCTGTCAGCTGTTAACTGAGACCAGAACCTACTTCATGTTTCATCTAAATGAAGGGTTGAATCTCCAGAGTCTCAGGATCCAGAGTTTTCAGGACGAGTCCAGTGGGACAAAGACGTCCTCACAGAAGGACGCCTCACACTTCATGTCTCCAGACTCAGGACCAATGACTCTGGGTTTTATGTGTGTGCCATACTCGTCACACCTGATGGGAGTAACTCTAGGAGATGCTGGCTCAACGTCACTGGTGAGTAACCACCCATTCATCTTTGTTATAATGTTAAACTCTCAGGGTGTACGAGAACCTGAGAAATGTTGTAGATGTTTCTTTATCAGGGAAATGTTTTGACACAGTTTGTTGGTGTTTTCACAGCACAGCGACACATTGGAACAAACCTGAGACCCCATCACAGGAAGACGGGGAAGGATTGGCCTCTACTCAGCGTTAGCACTGGTTTCTGTTCTACTTGCTTCTGTGTTTCTGTGTGCTTCTTAACTTCAGACGACAAGCAGCCAGTGAACAGGGTTCAGACTCAGGGACAGGTAACAGTTCAGCAGGTGGACCAACAGAAACAGTTTGACACTATCTGTTACATTAATGCTCATCTAAAGACATTTGCACACTCCTGCACAAAACTGACTCTTTAGATCTGCAGCGCTCTGACACTTTACTTCAGCTATACTGTACATCTTATCTTTCTTTTGTTAAAGGTCCCCTATTATACTCTTTTTCATCAATATATCACAGGTCTCAGATATATACAGAACCTGTCTCTGATTGGCTGAAACACCAAACAGATCATTGCAGCATTACCCATAATCCCCTCTGTTTCAGCCCTGTTTCCAAAGTGCTGATTCTCTGTCTGTTACTTTAGATGAAAATAAGGAGCCCCTCCCCACGCCCCTCTGAGAGAGATTTGGTTACAAAGAACTCAATGGTGCTCTAGGAGGAGATTCAGGTGATAAGGGGGGGGGGGGGTTACCTTGGTTGGTGATTGGCTAATGGTTACACAAGACAAAACATCGTTATGTATGACATCATAAAGTGGCCAAAATCTGATCATCAGCTCATTTTCAGACAGGTTTTATAAAAATGGATCAAAAAGAGAGAGAATCTTTGTTCCTGAAACTTTCAGAGTCTCTTTAGAGGGGACACATGTGATGAGAAGAGACATGAAGAAGAGGGGACACATGTGATGTAGAAGAGACATGAAGAAGAGGGGACAAGTTGATGTAGAAGAGAAGAAGACATGGAGAAGAGGGGGACACATGTTGATGTAGAAGAGACATGAAGAAGAGGGGACACATGTTGATGTAGAAGAGACATGAAGAAGAGAGGGGACACAGTGATGTAGAAGAGACATGAAGAAGAGGGGACACAGTTGATGTAGAAGAGACATGAAGAAGAGGGGACACATGTGGAGGTTAGATAGAGAAGAGATGAAGAGAATGAAGGGGGGACACAGTTGATGTAGAAGAGACATGAAGAAGAGGGGACACATGTTGATGTAGAAGAGACATGAAGAAG